GCAGCGAAAATGGCCGCACTATGGAGGATCTTCGCTGAACGGTGAGTTTTAAGCCCATAGGAACGCATTGAAGGGATTTAAATGCATTTCTATGGGCTGTTTAATATTGCATAGCGACATTTTCGTTCTGCAGCGATTTTTGCGGAATGAATTAATGTCGCAATGCGAGGCACCACTGTACATTCCTGTTATTTAAACTCTCCTTGTTTTCCCATTTACAGATATTCTGCTCACGATCATATGATGCTACAACCCATTTTGAGACAACATGCGATGACATCAAAGACATTTACCGGCGCATGGCAGGGGCTCCGTTTGACTTTGAAAGCATGAAGCGGCGCCAGAATGATGTCTTTGGCGAGGATGAGCAGTGACCATGCCCGTTCCCTTCCTATCCCTCTCCTTCCTGGGTTTTCCCCATGCAAGGGACCATCTTCCCACTAGGGACTGGCTTTACCCCACACCCTGCCTGAGACTGGCTCTTCCTCCAAATCCTCGTTGAGCTGGGCCAGATTTCTCATAACTGGGATCAGTCCACTTAAACCACAAAGAGAAAACACATTTTTAGATTACTATGCTGACCTCTATTTTTCTGCCTCAAAGGACAAGCTTACCATTTTCAAGACTAGCTGGACCAAAGTGGGGGCAACCCATCCCTGTTGGTATTCCAGCTCTTAAGTTCCTTCCCATGTCTGTAAGGTTTTAGGGTCACGCTATGTATCAAACACAGTTGCATGGACTTAAATCCTTCTCCCTTCTACATGAAAGAGCTTGGGACAGACGTGATTTGGCACATTTTTCCACTGCAGTCCCTTTTACCTGAGTCTCTTTTATGGTGAGTCCCACTGCATGTTTGTAAGGACAAACGATGCATCTAAAAGGAGGCAGAATTAAGCACTTGTCCACTTCATGCCACCCTTGGAGAAACCTGACCTAACCTAGAAATAGTTAGCCATTGGGTTTAAAAACATGTGATTGCATAAAACCTGTAGTCTGGCCCTTTTTCCTTCCGTTACTCTCCAATTCTCCTATGCTCACCTTTCTCTCTTCCTCCTCCCTGCACTTGCTGGAAAAATTTCATTCTTCACCGACTGTGCCCCTCTGAGGCCTCTGTGCCTCACAGTACATTCCCACCCCCCACATCCTGGTTCTTGGTTATCCTAGTTCTGATCCTAGTAAACTGGTTTGGTATTTCACCTTCTCCACTCAACTTCACTCCATGCATATCATTCAGCCTTTCTTCTTTCCCCCGTTTCTGTGGATCATGGTTTGAACTTTCACTCCTGTACCCTGAGAGGAGACTAAAATGGTGACTACAACAGTGCGAGAATGTGGAGGCATGAGGGAAGAGCCATTCTGAGCCATCTTTTCCACACTTGCTGTCCCTCGAGCCAGTCCCCTGTACTCCCACCGTGCCACTCCAGGTCCCCCTAGGCCTCTCTGTTTGTCTTGCGTCTGTCTCTTTTGTCCCCCTCGATCCCTCTTAGTTCCTTTAGCCTAAAGTGTGGGAAGACGTGTGTGTGTGTGTGTATGTGTCTCTCTCGAGTGCTGGACATAGGGACAGGGTGGTGGCTCTGTCCCCTTCCACTTTGCTGCCACCTGCTGTAACTTATTGTAACTTATTAATGGAGCAGGTCAAACTTTTGTCAACACTCCTGACAATTAACAAGGTTTGGATGAGGGGTGGGGTGGGGGTCCGGCCCTGGCACAAGCAAAGAGGCCCGGGGCCTGTTTTGTGCCGGAGGCTTCCTTCATGCCGAAGCTGGCTTTATGGTTAACAATTTGTCTGTAACTCTAGGGGGATATGAGGGGTCACTTCCCTCCACCCCGCAGCTGCTCAACTGTCTCAAGATAATAAATTCACTTAGTCTATCCTTGGCTCCTGTCTGGTACTGTTTCCATGGCGATGAGAGCGGAAAGAGGCTAAGATCTGGGCCTGGGCCCCCAAAGTAGAGAAGTGTGCTGTTTGTAGAGAAACATCATGTTGAGCTCCAGAGAGGAAAGAAAAGTAGTGTTACTGTATGTGGGAAATGGAGCCGTGGTAACCTTTCTGTAGCCAGAAAGCCGTTTCCAAATCTAGGGGAAGAAGAAAGCTAACATTCCCCTGCTTTTTAGAGTAAAAAAGATAAAAGAGTAACAATGCTGCAGAGTTTTTGATACTTGTCCTCCTTTTCTCCATTCTCCTCCCCCTCAAAAATGTCACCAAAAGCCTTGTTTAGCGCTATCTGACTATTACACGAGATGACTAGATGCTTCACGTTGCATATTCTTCAGTTTTCCTGCCTAACATCAGTGGAAAAGTTGAGAATTGCAGACTGCGCAAAGATTATTGCTCTGGTTATAAGCTTTCTCATAGAATGATGCTCTTCAGTTTAGATTCTCTCTTTTCCAGTCAACTACCTTTCAACTCTGCTGGTTTATCCCTTCCTTCAGCAGACACTGCCAAGATACTATGAATCTGTTTGTTTGTTTTAATTTGAAAACAATTTACTGCCTTATAATATCACATCTTAGAAATATTACAGATTAGAACTCGTGGAATTATTTATTATTTACTTAAAATATTTTACCCCACCTTTCTCCTTAAGAGAGGACCCAAGACATCTTACATCATTAAAAGACAAAATTTAAAAAATACTGTATGCAAATATGTTAAAAGATCAAACAAATACCACAGTAAAAACAGAAAACAAAATCAACACCAAAATACATTCAAAGCAACAAGGCACAGCAATCCATTTAATTACACTAAACAACAATAAAAATTAACTTTATTAAAACCCAACAGATTATAGAATTTACCAAAAAATTACAAAAATAAAATAATTAGCCAGTTATAGGGAGAAATTAAATAGGTACTAGGATGGCTATTTGCCCTCTTTAGTTGAAGGAGTGCCAGCGGTCACACGACTTTTTGAAGGTGTCCTCCCATTGAACGGCTGTCTAGTCTAAGTCTGATTTAAAGATAAAGAATCATGAGGTGAGAAATCCAAAGCCTGATTTCACCTGTTGTATTTTTACAACATCTCAAGAACAGATTCAATATGCACACAGGCTACCTCATGACAGTCTTCCCCACTGGAGTAAGATGTAATTCTATTTCAGTTGTAAACATTGTTTTTAATTTTACATATGCACATATAAATAAGCATATGCAATTTTGTGCCAATGTGTCCTCTTTTGTGATGGTGCTTAAGTCACCACCTAGCAGCAGTAGCTGAAGATGTTGCCGGTGGAAGAGCCAAAGAAACTGCACAGGAATTAGCAATGATAAACTACTGCTGAACCTTTCTGGTCTTGAAAAACCTATGATGAGACAATCCAAAATGATGCAAGAGATAATACTGGAAAGTGACTCCCAGGTCAGAAAGCATTCACTCAGCTACTTGGGAAGAGTAAAGGACTAGTATGGATAATGCTGTTGATAATAACACAACTAGCTGAAAACTGAAAGAATGTCTAGTAGCTTGACATGCACAGAGGTGAAAGGAGAGTATGATGCTGAAAACACACAACTGGAGCATGAGTATGAATCAAGATAAACAGGAAACCATAAAGCAAGAAATTAAGCATTTAAACATTGCAGTGCTTGGTGTCAGTGAACTAAAGTGGACTGGAATGGGACATTTTCCACAAAATGTTTTACTCCGGAAATGACAAAGTCAGAAAAAATGGAGTGCCTCTAATAATAAGACCTAGCATGGGCAGTTGGGAGCTATAATGTGGGGTCTTGACCAAATAATATCCATCAGAATTCTAAGAAAACCTGTCATTCAAGTCTATGCTCCAACTGCAGATGTTGAAGAAGATGGACAAGACACAGGTGACTGGAACATAAAAATAGGAAATAAAGCAAAAGCAAATGTTATGGAGAACATTGGTAAGAAAGAAAGTAGGTGAACACCTTTTAGAATGAAGCCAACAATCTACTGCAAATACATGCTTCAAGCAACTAAACCGATGACTGTACAAGTGAATATCACCAGACAGTTAAGTTAGAAATCAAATAGACTACATACAGTAAGTGAAAGCAGGAGAAAATAAAGAAAAGACAGCAACAGTATACTGAAGGCCTATACAGAAGAGATAAAAGGATGATAGACTCTTTTGAAGAGGAATGCTATGGTAAAGAACTTGCAACTATTTCAAGCCACAGAGATTGAATCCGTCAAAATTCTAACAAGAATATGCTAACAAAGATGGAAAATAAAACAATGGCCCACAGACTGGAAACATTCAGCATATGTTCCAATCCCCAAGAAAGGAGATGCCATGGAGTGTAGTAATTATAGGACCATGGCTCTAATTTTGCATAAAAAATGATTTGATGATCAAGCTGTTGCTATAAAGGCTTTTGATCTTATATAGAGTGAGAAATGACTGATGTCCAAGCTGGATTCCAAATAGGCACTTCAGATCATATTGTAAAAATTTCTGGCTATTAGAGAGCACCAGTGAATTTCAGAAGATCAACCTATGCTTTATAGATTACAGCAATGCCTTTATGCAGATCATGAGAAGCTGCAGGTTGTTCTGAAAGAAATGGGAGTGTCTCAGTATTTAATTGCCCTGATGCATAACTTGTATTGTGGAGAAGCAGCTACTGTTAGAATATGGAGAGATATAATGGTTTTCTATAGGCAAAGGTGTCAAAGGTTAAATTTTATTTCCCTATCTGTTCAGTCTTTATACAGAACATATATGGAAAGCTGGGCTAGATTCAGATGGATTGAAAAATGATTGAAGAAACATCAATGATTCAAGATAATGCAGATGACACCATCTTACTGGCAGAAAGCAGCAATGACCTGAAATTACTGTTAGGGAAAGTGAAAGAATAAAGTGCCAAAGCAGGACTGTACTTGAACATAATGAAGACAAAAATCATGATTACAGGAAAAAGTACACCTTTAATGTTGAAAATAAAAAAACTGGAATTGTTAAAAGATTGTATCCCTTGATTCATTTATCAGTCCAAATGAAGGCCGCAGCCAAGAAATTACAAGACTGAGACTTGGAAGGGCAGTGATGAAGGAATTAGAAAAGATCATCAAGCATCAGGATGCGTCACTGGAGACCAAGATCATCCATATCTTGTATTTCACATCACCATGTATGGATGTCGAAGGTGGACAGTGAAAAAAACCAACAGGAAAAAAAGTGGTTCATTTGAGATGTGGTGCTGGAGGAAAGCTTTGCAGATACCCTGGACTGCCAGAAGAACAAGCGGGTCCTAAAGCAAATCAAGCTTGAACTTTCTGGAGGCAAAAATGAAAATGAAAAAAATAAAAATAAAAAAGGGGGAAAAGGGCTTTCATACTCTGGTATATTGTGAGAAGGCAAGATTCTCTGGAAAGGACAATAATGTTCAGATAGGTTGAAGGCAGCAAGAAAAGAAGAAGATCATATACATACAAGATACTGCAGATTGATTTGCTAAAAGGAAGCCACAGGCTTGAGTTTGCAAGAGCTGAACAGCACTGTTGAGGACATGACATTTTGGAAGCTGATACTTCATCCAACATTTCATTGTTTCCACGTGTCTGAGGAAGTGGATGTGTCCACGGATGCTGTCCTTCAAATATAATAGTCTTTAAGGTGCCACATGTTTTTGTCTTATTTCTTTGGATTTTGCCTATTATGCTCATTCATAGGGCTGCCATGAGCAGAAGGCAGCTCGAGGGCACGTAGCAACAAATGGATGCCAATGTGCAACCCTATGCCCACTTGCCTGGGGCAAGCTCTTGAAGGGTGCCAAGACTATTTTCTGTCTTTTTGCCTGTCTCTAATGCATTAATCAATCAGCCAGAGACAGAGAGATCCAATAGATATTTATTTTCAATTGAAAGCAAGCAAACAGACACAAACTTCACTCACAGAAATATGTGGAGAAGCAGCGCCCCCCCATACAAAAGTATACCTTTTTATAAGACAAACATGAAAGAAGGGCTAAGGGGGTTGGTTGGGAGGAGGAGAAAGGGGAGGAGGTTCTGTAGGTGTCTGGACTGTGGACAATAATTCATTCTTCCCAGCTTCGTGTCAGATGCCCGGACTTCTTCAAGGACAAATTTCCAATTTACAAACACTTTAATTATAAAGTGAAAGAAACTCCGACGGACACCCCCTTCCTCCCTTGGTCATTCTTGCCTGCCTAAGCAAAACCTTAATATAACTGGTTTACACATTCATATAGCAAAGTTACAGAAAGCAAGATGGCTATGACTAGGCTAAGATATATATTTTATATGTATTAATTTGACCCCTTCACTCTATTGCAGTTTTAGAACTGAACAGTAGAATATCTAGGATTCTATTGTAAAAAAAAAAAAATTAGGTTCTTTAACTGTTCCTCTTGTACTGAAGGACTCTAGCAATTATAAAGGAGACCCCGAAGCTCGCAAAATAATATTAATGGCTTTTCTTCTATATTCTCTCTCTCTCTCTCTATGGTAATTTCTAATCACCAAGTACGGCCTGAGATCGGAGTATCTTTTGGGGCTCAGACACCAGGCGCACGCATAAGGGGTTCTGCTAGAAATGCCTGGTCTCCGAATGACCTAGTTTTCCACTCCAATGCAAAATCGGAACAGGGAGAGAGGGGGTCCACAACAGACACGAAAAAAGCCGGAGCGACGCCAACCCACTCCAGTTAACAATCAGAGACAAAGGCGGCTTTCGATTTGTACCGGAAATTGCGCATGCGCAACAGCCCACGCTTTCCCCCTCCCTCTTTCGGTGCCTCGCAAGTAAGAGGCAAACAGGAAGGGCTTCACCAGTGTCCAGTCGCGTCTGGATGACGTAAGCGAAGCAGCTGTAAGGATCTCCTCCAGAGGAGGGATTCCCCGACTTCACAGGAAGGAGCGATTCTCGTTTTGTTGAGCAGGTAAGGGGGGCTTGCCCTTCGCGCACCTGGTTTCCTCTATAAAACAAGGGGTTCCACGGCCAGGTCGAGAAATGCCCCATCACCCCCCACAACCTCCCCATGTCTCCTCTGCCCTTTGGGTCCGCCCTTGTCTTCTATTTGGGGATGGGGAGCCCTGTTTGTCGTATTGGGGTTTCCTGCAGGGCTCGTGGTCGATTCTATATTTCCCGTGGAGAGATAGTCCAAATTACAGGCTTCCGCCGAAACAGCTGCTAGAGAATTTCTAAATATTTTGGACTATCACTCCCATAGTCCCTTACTATTGATCATGCCAGTTGGGGCTACTGAGAACTGAAACTTAAAACACCCCGAAAGCCAGAGGTTCCCCCAATGTTGATTTAAAACGAACTGGGAGTGGATTTGGTGGGACTGGATTGGGGGCTGTTGGTAAATGATGTGGCTCCTAGACTGGGGAATGAATTGCTTTCTGAGTTGCAGTCTGTTTCCAGTCTGTCTGATTTTAAGAAGGCAGTAAAACCACGTTTTCTTTAGACTGGCTTATGATGTTTAACCTCCCTTACTGTGTCATTTTAATGGCATCCTTTGTTGATTTTTTGATATACTTTATCTTAATGGTTTAATGGTGATTTTATGATTTTCTTTTAGCTAAATGTGGTTCTTATTCTTTTAAGAAGTTGTAAGCAGCCTTGCATATAGATGCTCATAGATCTGTTTCATGCCTCCCAGGTTCATCTGCAACCATGGCCCAATACAAAGGAGCTGCCAGCGAAGCTGGCCGGGCTCTCCAGCTGATGAAGAAGAGAGAGAGGCAGCGGGAACATATGGAACAGATGCGGCAGCGCATTGCTGAGGTGATGGGAAGCAGGAATCTTGGAAAGGGGAGGTTTGGAGGGAGGCAGCACTGCATGGTCAATTGTTAAATGTGGGGATCGATTCTTGAATGCCAGGAATGGGCAAGAAGAGAGTGGGAGGTGGGGATGGCCTTTTCTTTGCTACCAGGCTGTAAGAAAGAATAACCACAACAAAGCTTTGTTCATAGTTATAAAAAAACGTTTAGAAAGCGCTGTTTATGCATATTTTAACATGTTAGGAGTGCCTTTGACTTATTTTCTTGCTATTTCGATACATTGTCATGTAGGGTAAGAAAACAAAAGCAAGCACTTGTAAATCAAACCAGTATTCTAACAAACATTGAAAGTGATATTAAAATGATTTACACAGTAGGCATCATACTCCATATCTAAGTTAACATCATGTGGAAGCCAAGCCTTAATAATAGTAATAGTAATAGTAATAGGCTCCATACTAAGTTAACATTATGTGGAAGCCAAGCCTTAAGCCAAAACGAGTTTGTCTTCTCTCTGTAGTAGCTGATGAGGCATGTGTTGTGATTCCCCACTGTTGGCACATGCACCTTGAAGCTAGCTCTTGACTTGTTTTTTTGTTAAATCACAAAAAGTGGTCAACGAGAGCAGATGGGTGGGATATTGATATTAATATTAATATTAAATCTCCTTCAAAGATATGAATCTTTTTCAGTGTTCAAGATGCAGGTGGGCAGGAATCATGGGTGATTTTGTCCAGAGCTTGCTCCAAGAATGCCTTCCTGTTTCTCTTTCCAAACCACTCTAGGAAAATGTCACCAGATTCCTAGATGTCTCATTCCACTTCCAGAGTCCTCTTACAAGGTTTCATTTTTATGCTTCGTGTACCTGTATGGTACCATTCTTTTTGTCTTCTCAGTCACTTGACCTCCCTGTCTCCTTCAAAACTGCTATAAGATTCCAATGTATTCATGTTCCTCTTCTGTTGCTTTTCCTCTTGCAGTTTTGCTCTTAATGGTCCTATCAGAAACTGGCTGACTTCCTAAACTCTTTTGTCCCATCATATCTCTTCCTAAGAAGAAACTTCTGTCTGTCAGAATTTAACATCTTTTCTCCTCCCCTGCCATAGACCTCAAACCTTGCTGTTCCTTATCTTTTTTTCGCCGCTAATTACACTTAGCATGCCAAGATCACCTATGATACCTGTCACCTTCACATTGCCCAGTAGCTTTGCTAAATTAAAATGAACTAAAGCTGAAATTGGTGACTTTCCAGCTGTCCCACTGACTAGAAGAAGTAAAATAGTCTCGGATGTATGCTGACATAGGATGTGTTTTCCATCTCTAGCAAATAGGGCATTAACAGCAAGATTAGAAAAATCTTAGGCACTCAGGAAAAAGAGCATGGGTGCCTTGAAACATAAAGTTAGATTGAACCTTGTTCTAGCAGGCCTCCATTAGCATAGCAGGACTTCTGCTTTTCTCTTCCCTACAACCCTTTGCACCAGCCAAAAAAACTATTTCAGATGGTTTCCCAACCTCTGGAACTGCTTCTGTAAATGCCCAAAGGTCTGCAGGGGAAGGAGGAGCTGCCCCTCTTCTGTTAACAAGGATGAAAGCAGCTCCATCAGTGCTCCCAGTCTTTGGAATGCACGGCTTCAAGCAGCCAGGCTGGCCCCCTCCCTCTTGTCCTTCCATCCTTGGGTAAGGATCTTCCTTTGCCGGCAGACTTTGAAGCAATACGTAGGGGTTTCAGGAAGGCTTTTGTTACTGAATCTTGAGGTTATGTTTAACATATTTTAAATTTTGTTTTTAACCTTGCTTTTAGTATTAACTAATGTTTGTTTGTTTGTTTTGGTTTTTAATGATATTTCTCTAAATTGTTTGTAATTGTATAGTTTTAATTGGTGTGAGTCGCCTTGGGTTCCCTAGGGGGAGAAAGGCAACAAACCAACAAACCTGTCAGATCCTGACCTATGAAATGTAATCCTGCCCTGAGATAGATCCTTGTTGTTACCTTGAACTGAGGAGTGCTACTTTGCAGCCTGAGTGAATGCCAAACGCATTCCTTTTGAGCCCGCATGTGGAGCAAGAGAGAAGGTAACCTCTGCTTCTCTCACCTACTTCAGAGCCCAACCTTTGCCGTGGCAAGTAGGATGCCAGTGTGTGGCCCGTTTGAAATAGGGTGTCAAAAAAGGGTAGGGATAGAACAGTCACAGCGACCTTTTCTTTCACTGCACCGGAGCATTTTAAATCAGGCATCTGCCTAATTCTATAATTTTAAGCACACTAAAGAGGAAAGCCGGTTTCTTTAAGCAACAGTAACACTCAAATTTCACATACATGTTTAGCGTCAGGAAACAGGTGAGTTCTTTGCTGACAAATGCCTCGTCCAAGATCTCTAATAGAAGTGTCCATTTGTACCAGCGATTCACAGTAATCTCTCTTTTCCTGTCTTCACTTAGATCCATTCACAGGTATTGCCTTTCTCTTCATTCGGGACCTGGGTGATCATTTTCTTCTTCTGGAAAACGTAGACTTAAAGACTGCTTCCTTCCTTTCCCTATATTTCTATGATTGGCTGTATAACCCTTAATAATGATAACCTTCTAAGTCTTAATAATTTCCCCCCTCTAGGCCTTAACCATGACAAGCTCCTTTTCTGATAAATTCCCACTCACCTTGCTTGCTCCCCTGCATTCCTTCTTAGTACACAAAAGTATTGTCTATAATTGCTTGAAAGATGGGTGCCCTCCTGTTGTCTCGGGTCTTGTTCTGCAAGGACTTGTTTCCTCCAGAGATGAGCACAGATCTTCCTGCTTGGTTGTTTTATCCTCTGGGCTTGTGCTGCCAATCCTATAGATGGTAGTGGAAAGGCCACTGGGCTGAATGGTCAGGATGGTGCCTGAAGTGTTCCCTCCAGTTTGCATAAACTGCATTTCATCGTGGCTGTTGGTCCTTCGTCATGGGATGTGACTTCTGGTGATCGAAGAAGCGGGATTCCTGCTGGCGAGATCTTCTGCATTAGCCACATGGCTTTCTTCGTGATGTGTTCATCTCCAACAGAACCTCTTTCCTTGATAAGAAGGAGATCTATACATCTTTTTTTTTCTTTAAAGATGGAAACATGTAAAAAAATGTACGTAATCTGCCCCAGTCTTTGGGTTAAGCTGGATTGTAAGTCTAAATGCCCTTCTCCTGGCCCTGCTGGTGGGAGAAGTTTCAGCAGCAGATGGGCAGTGTTGGATCCTCCCCAAAGAGTGTGGGTGCTTATTTTCACCATGGGGAAGGCGAGATGAGAACTGAGGTGAAGTTTTCCTCGGTGCCTCCTTACCCTTGATTTCTCCTCTGCTTGGGATAGTTACACATTTCTCTAGAATTAGTCCAAGGAGGTTGGGTTGAAGACTGGCTTTCAGCTCCATATGGGAAACATGATATGCTCCCTTTTTCCTCTGGCAGGAGAACATCATGAAGTCAAACATTGACAAGAAGTTTTCTGCCCATTATGATGCCGTGGAAGCAGAGCTAAAATCCAGCACTGTTGGTGAGTGAGTGCATGAGTAAATGAGACGGAAAGAGAGATGTCTTGATCTCTGTCCCTCAACTTGGAAGAATGGGTCCCATTATCCAGCTTTTATCTGGGCATTTGTATCAAGAGGCCTTTTTTCCTGTTTTCTTCTGATAGGCCTGGTGACCCTCAATGACATGAAGGCCAAGCAAGAGGCGCTGGTAAAGGAACGGGAGAAGCAGCTGGCAAAGAAGGAACAGTCCAAAGAGCTACAACTGTGAGTTGTGGGCTGTGTGGTAGACACACATTCTGGGCAGGCTGAGTTAGGTGTGTTTCTTTTACTGGATGAATTTTGTTCTTTGTTTTAAGGAGAGCTGGGCCTAAGAATGTAAGTGGTGAACTCACATAATATGTGAACACAGTCTCTTGGTGACATTGATTGGCCTAGGTTCACAACAACCAAAAGAATGGGCTGCTTTCCAGGGCATATACAGTAATTAATTTTGGGGAATCATTACCTAGTGAATCAAGTGGAGCAACAAAGAGTCTTAACGCTTCTTGAAGACGAACACATTATATTTGGCCTCAGATTTTGTGGGCTGCGGTAGCCCATTTCAGCAGACGCACTTCATTAGAATTTGGCTACATTCTACAAAAGCTTATGCTATTATAATATACTTAGGCTTTAAGGTGCCATGAGAATATTTGTGGGTTTTGGAGCAATAAACTAACATGGTTATTCCCCCCACCATCCAGAATTAAGTGAATAAAAGCAAACTGCTTGCACTTTAAGAGGATGTTGCTAACAAATAGAGGACAGAGTGAGATGGGTCCTGTCAGCTGGCAAGGTGGAACCTCCATCTTTTGAGGCACTTTATCTCTCAATACTGAAGGCTGGAATCAACCAGAGGGGGATGGTTATTCTTTTTCCTGCCCTTTCATTTGAGAATCTCACAATGGTATACAAGGATGTCGGATAAGGTGTGCCTTTGGTCTGATCCAGCAGGTCTCTTATGTCCCGTCGGTCACATAGGCATGAGGGAGCCTTAAGTGTGCTGCTTTTGCCTTGGTTTCCCTTGTAAATGCCTCTCATACATGGTATGCTAAGACATCATGTCTCTCATATGGGGGTGGTAATTCCATTGTTGTGTTGTTGTTTTTTCTTAAATATATTGGGATAGTTTATTTCCCCTGGTCTAAGCTTTGCATGGCTGATGGCGCTGACTCTGGTTGTTCCCTCCCAGGAAACTGGAGCGGATGCGAGAGCGGGAGCGCAAACAGGAGCAGAAGCGTAAGATCTCCAGCTTATCTTTCACTCTGGATGAGGAGGAGGAGGAAGAAGATGGCGCTGAGGAAGAGGATGAGGAGGCAGAGTTGGAGCGGGAAGGTAAGGAACAGAAGCCTGGATGTTTGCAGGTGGAGAATGAGGCTTCACTAAGCCTGAGGAGATTATGATGAAGATGTTAATGATGATATTGATATGGAGTAGGACAATGGAAGACAGAAAGGTGGCTGTCAAGTTAAGGCAGTGGAGTTCTGTGATTAGTGTGTCCCTCATACTTTCTTTTCCCCACCTCCCTCAGAACAGCCTCCCAAGAAGAAGAAACTGGGGAAGAACCCAGATGTAGACACCAGCTTCTTGCCTGACCGTGACCGTGAGGTGAGGTACTCCCCTACCCTCCATTCAGAGCCAGGGTGAGATAATGGTGAGAGGGTTCAATGGGAATCCTGAAAAATCCAGCTTCAAGGCTCCACTTAATCCTAAATCTCACAGGGTTATCTCAGGCCAGTGCTCTCTTTTTTTCAGACTGACGGGGCTCTTGTGAAGAAAAAGGGGGAGTGGTTAATGGGAGGAAAGATCAGATAAAAATGTGGTGACTAAATGAGAGGTACTCACAAGAGAACCCTTGTGTGGCTGCATCCTCTCCCCTTGCGGACAGCTAGTATTTGCTGTGAGGCAGGAAGCTCAGACTGTTTTCTGCCTCCACCCTCTCCTCTTTTCAGGAGGAAGAAAACCGCCTGCGGGAAGAGCTTCGTCAGGAGTGGGAGGCCAAACAGGAGAAAATCAAGAGTGAGTGGGGAAATGGGATGTCCGCCTGGCAGGCCTTCAGGGGCAGGAGAGTGAGCTCTCCAGACAGGTTCTGGGGGGGTCAACAGGTCACTCGTAATTAAAGATGTCTTGAGTCTGTCTCTTTCTCCCTTCCCCGCCTCACCCAAAATCTCCATCTAGGTGAAGAAATTGAAATCACTTTCAGCTACTGGGATGGCTCTGGACACCGTCGAACTGTGAAGGTGAGATATGCTCCCTGCTAGAACCTGTGCCGCCACCACCTTGCGCCTGTCCCGGTTGGGTTCCCCTCTCTCCCAATTAAAGACTACATTGGTTGTTTGTCTTCTTAAGAAATACAGTAGTGTCTCGCATAGCGATCGTTTCGTTTTATGACGAAATCGCTTTGCGACGTCGTTTTACGATGAAATCGCTTTGCGACGAACTTTTTGCGATTGCAAAAGCGATCGCTCTGCGATGTTCCCTATGGGGGAATTTTGCTTTGTGATGATCGGTCCCCTGCTTTGGGCACCGATCATCATAAAGTGATGATCTTTTAACAGCTGATTGGCGGTTTCAGAATGGCCGCAGGGTAAACAATATGGCCACCCGCTGTGTTTAGGGACAGATTCCTCACTTTAGAGGCATCGAAAATGGCGGCGCTATGGAGAATCTTCACTTAAAGGTGAGTTTTCAGCCCATAGGAATGCATTGAAGAGGTTTCAATGCGTTTCTATGGGCTTTTTAATATCGCATAGCAACATTTTCGTTCTGCAGCAATTTTTGTGGAACGAATTAACGTCGCTATGTGAGGCACCATTGTAGTTATTATATCTTGTTTATATGTGGGATTCTGCCTGGTCTTCCATCTGAGAAACTGATGCAGCCCAAATTTGTTCAGTTTCAGTAGATCCGGAAGAAACATCTTTAATATTTTCTACAACAAAATGGAGCTTTGGGGCATTTTGAAGCTGAACAAGTTTTATTTGGCATAAGCTTTCATGGAATGCAGGCTGCATATTCTCAGTCCATGAAACTTTATCCTAGATTTAAAAAAAAAAACTCTTATCATTTTTGAGGAGCCACTAGGCTCCTTGCTGGTTTTGGTGCAACTCGGCTACCCCTGTGGAAATGAGTCCTATGTCTTCACACCTTCCAGAAGGAAAATTGCAACCCAAAATGTACATGATCTCACCCTGAACCCACAGACATAGACACTAAAACCTGATCGTGTAAAACTAAAGGAGGGACATGCCTTTCAGAGCATTTCTGTGGCCTCCAGAGATTCCCAAAGGGAAATAAATGCTTCCCTTCCTCTTATGAGAGAATCACAGGTCAAGGGGCCATGATTCCTGAGTCAAAACAACTCTACTTTCCCAAAAGTGTCTCCGTATTTTTAAGAAAAGGATTTGAAATCCTTCCAGACATGGAACCATGTTGAGGGGCTGATCCAACCTCTGTAGAGTCTTGGGGTCGGGATCCTCCCCTTTGCTTCACTGAAGCTTTAGTCCAGGATGGACACATTTCAGGGTTGGGGGACAACCCTCCATGGGCTGTACAGACTGCCTCCCCACAAAAAAAAAGAAGCAAGCAAGAAGCTGGTTCTGGCTGGCAATCCACTTCCAGTTTTGAAAAATGAGTCTCTAGGGCTGTTAACATGGCATGGGGGTAGGGGCTTTGACCTGTGTAAAGCTAAGCTGCCTGGACGCATCTGTAAACATATAAACATCCCCCCTCTCTCTTTTTTTATTTTATTTTATTTTTTTGCTAGAAAGGGGATCAGGGGAGGACTGGGAGGGGGTCAAAAATAGCCCCAATGGTGCAACTTGTGGCCCCTCTGAGAACTTTGCCCACTTATTCTTTAATTTAATTAAATGTTCTCTCATTTAAAACTAAAGCTCTGAATTTTATTTGTTTAAAAAATACTCCACACTCTGCAGAAGAGGGAGAGGGTGTGAGAGACAGAGTAACTACACCAGTGCTTCAGAGTCTTCAGAACAATGTCCCCACTCCTCAGTGCTCTCCAAGTGTGGTGGACTACAAGCCCCATTTATCTCCAACCAATATGGTTCTACAGCTGGTGGATGATGACAGTTGTAGTGGGACTCAAGAATTGGAGTGTTCCAGAAGCCAAAATGTCAAGGGATGGTCAACGGGGCACCAGATACCCTGCCTTGAACTGCTTGGCATAATAGACAGAGAGACAGATACATTGACTGATTATTGAGACACACAATAAAGATCTCTCAGCACAAATGAGGAATCTGCAAGCTATATCTTTGGTCTGAGTTTCTGCAAGGAAAACAAATCCATTCCAGGCTGACTCCTGTTTCCCCCGCAGTGCAGATGAAAAAGGGCAACACCATTCAGCAGTTTCTACAGAAGGCCCTGGAGATCTTGCGTAAGGACTTCAGCGAACTCCGGTAAAGGCCTTGGCAGAGTGGGGTGTGCTCTCCTGGGGATGGGAGGGAGGCTGTGGACGGGGCTGCCTTGGCTGCACAGCTGCCTCCTTTTTCCTATTGTCAGCTCAGAGTAGTGGTAGTCAGGGTTCACCCTCCAAATCCTCCCAGGCCCTCCTGAACCCTGAAATCCCAAAACACCCTGGGGAGGGGGAGGAAATGGCCACCAATAATGCAGATTTCACACACCCCCGCCAAAACCTCTGGAATGTATGATCTGTGCTGCACACCCAGTCCCTCCTGCAGGGCACGTTTAGGCTTTAAAGTCCTTTTTTTAAAAGTCGGAATTGACTGCTATTCATTCTCTGATTTAAAAATAAAACCCCTTTAAAACCTAGAACAGGGCAGCAGAAGAACAAAAGTGGGTGTGCAGTACAAATCCTTTCAGGGAGTCTAATTTTTAATTTTGATTCCAGATTTCACCCCACCCCACCCCAGGACATTGGAGGCTTCCAAGTTTTTGGTGCCCATTATTTCCCCAGAGGGTAAAGGGGTGTGTGGGGAGGGGATGTTCAGTCCTTGGATGTTGCTCACGTCTGCTTTAGAGCATGAGGTCTTTGTGTTTGAGTGAGTTTTGAAGCCAGTCCTCTGTAACCTTATGCAAAGTCTCTTTTTCAGCCTCAGGTGCTTGTCTGGAAAATGAGAATGATTCATTAACACATAAGGTCATAGGACACACATAAGAGTCCTATCAGCAATCACAGAGCATACCTGCTCTGTGGGGCTGTGGATAGTTAAATGAGCCAGAAGATTGTCCTATTGAAAGCAACGGTGCATAAATATGCATAAGAGGGGAGTAAATATCTTCCTGCATAGTTGGGCAGAGACAATACCTACATGTGCAATGGGCTCTTGCCATAAGTGTAAAAAAATGGGGGGGAAGAGGGTTTTGGCTCTAAGAGGGTTCTTATCAGCTCTGTGGGGCTGTGGATAGTTAAATGAGCCAGAAGATTGTCCTATTGAAAGCAACGGTGCATAAATATGCATAAGAGGGGAGTAAATATCTTCCTGCATAGTTGGGCAGAGACAATACCTACATGTGCAATGGGCTCTTGCCATAAGTGTAAAAAAATGGGGGGGAAGAGGGTTTTGGCTCTAAGAGGGTTCTCTGCATCCCGTTCTCTTCCCTGTGATCTTCAGATCTAGACTCAGTGAGGATGAGCGAGACAGACTTGTAACGAGATCCATATACATGAACAGTAAAACAAATGCTATGGAACTGAGGGCAGTTACAGACCAAATTTCAGTGTGGGTTTCTGGATGATGAGAATGAGACTTGAAGAAGGAGAGTTTTGCCAGGCTTTAAGTCCAGGCTCTGAACATCTTTTACATCCTGCAGGTCGGCTGGTGTGGAGCAGCTTATGTACATCAAGGAGGATCTCATCATCCCACATGTGAGTGGAGGTTCCCTGTGCTCCTCTGTTCTCCCCATCTTGTGTGCTGTACAGTAGGGCAAGGATGTCAAACAGATGTTCTCCATCTTTGTCCCGTGGGTTGGGGCCAGGGAACTCAGAACCTACTTGCATCCAGAGTCTTGGGGAGGAAGGGGATGCAGCTGGACACTCAGCAGTCCCAAAGAAAGGCTGAAATTAAAGAGAGAGGAAGTGATCCAGGGGAAGCCTTCCCTGTCTTCTCTTCAGCAGAGCTATTAGAGAAAGCGAGGAAACAGATGTCGGGGTTATCCTGAAAAACAGCAAACCATCAGGTTGTGTTGTTTTTTTTAACCAGATATTTTTTTTGCTGCCGAGAGTGCTATAAGGATTGAAAGGGGAGACATGGAAAGGTTCTGGGCTCTGCTGTCTAGACGCTGCTGGCCAGGATTTATGTCTGCCCTGATGGGGAGCATATAAACTCCCAGCTCCATTGGTGGAGAAAAGGAGCAGAGGATGTCTTGGAACAGTTCTTACCAGCTTAGCAACCAGAGCGGGCGATGGTACTAAATATAGATACGTGGACACTTGCATGCGTATACATACAAATGTAGGTATGTAGCCACAGTCTATATCCAGTGGCTGTTGGTAACCACCATACCTGATAAAACAGGAGATGCAACACAGGTAAGTGGAGCTGGTTGACAGGCAGAGATTGGGCCCACCGTGGGTATTCATGACAGACAGAGAGAACCCTTCATGCAGCAGGAGAGAGCCCAGGTGAGGCCCTGATCCCTTCCTCTAGAAAGGAGACAGTCAGGAGTGGACTGGTTGGAGGCCGGGTTGAGGGTAGGGCGCTGTCTAATGAACCTGATGAGCAAACCTCCACAGAGAGAGTGGATCTGAGAGGGGTAGACGGAAGAAAGCTGTTATGCTCCACAGCCCCTGGAAAGTGGGCTGTCAACAAGGAAAGAGGGAGATATATTTTGGACAGAGGCTTGGGTTGCTTAAGCTTGCCTTCTGGTCTAATGAAAGTCCAGGCCCATTTTGCTGAGGGAGGGGCGAGCCCTGCCCTGCCCACACACCACGGCCCTCTGCACCTACCCCCCCCATTGAGAAGAATATTTTAAAGGGAAGAGAGCGCAAGGTCCGTCCCCCCCCAACCCCACCAGCAATGCTTATGTGTGTGTGTGTCTTCCTTTTACCATATTTCTGCTGAAAGCCCTTGAGAAGGGGGCAGTTACAGTATATCTCTGCTTAAAAAGAAGAATTTTGCCCACCCTCGTTGAGCATGAAACCAAACCCAAAGTATCAGGCCCTTCTGAGAGTGGTTGCTCTTGTTTCGACACCTACTGTAGCAGCCGCCATCTGCCGCTGGTGTGGTGGGTCTCTTGCAGGGGTGAGCAACTCAGGGTGGGGGAGGTTCAGGGGCCATATTTCTGTCCCTGGGGTCCTCTGTGGAAAAATGGAGGTGCGGGAAGGAAAAATCAAAATCCAAAAGCAGCTAGGAGTTCACTTTCGTTTTTAAAAGTGGTCAGTTTTGGTGTGGGAGGATTGCAGGAGAGCTCTACAACCTATCTAGAAGTGAACTGCCGTTCCTCATGGCTTCCAGGAACACCCGTTCACTTTTTTGCTGGGGAAACCCGCTTTATTGATGGAGGAAGGAGGTGGATTGCTGGGGAGTCTAATAAGGAGAAGGACCACAAAAACAGTGTGGGGAAGGGAGACCTTCGAGGCACCAGGGCCACATTTTCCCCACCTTTGGTCTATGGGCTCGCTTCCTCCTCCAGGAATATTTGTGTGTCCTTTTTTTCTGAAACCCTTTTTTGCTTCCTGTCTGTCTAGCACCATAGCTTTTATGACTTCATCGTCACCAAGGCTCGGGGGAAAAGCGGTGAGTCTCCCATGCCCTGTCTCTCCTTTTCAGCCCCTTGCCTTCCTTTGGTTCAAAGCCTTCCTGAAGGGCTGTGAGAGTTTTGGAGGTCAGTGGTAGACAGAATCCAAATGGGCAGTATTCTCATGTTGGCAGGAGAGAGGAGATTTGCTTCGTGGAGGGGGGTGAGGAGAAAACAGAAAGGGTATTATTGAAAGTATAGAAAAAGCTGGGGGGGGGTGCAATTTGCAGGGCTTCTTCAGCCCGTAACATAAGGGCACCAAAGGATTTGCGCAACTGTCTCTTAGCTGGTGCTCTTTAGATATTTTGGACTATTACACCCATGACTCCTAGTTCCCTGAGAAGATGGAGGATTGTGGGTGTTGTAGTCTGTCCCATCTGGAGTATACTCAGTAGAAAGAGGCTAGTGAACTGATCATGAGCATGGTGGAAAAAGGGGAGGGTGCAGAAGGTACAGTGATTGTGCTATGGGGATAATGGAACACTGCTGAATATTAGAAAAGGTGATTTAGATGGTGGGGGGGCAAGAGTGGCACCACACTTGGAAGTCTGTATTCATGCTCTCGTGGTCTCCCCAATCCAGGGCCGCTCTTCAATTTTGACGTGCATGACGATGTTCGGCTTCTGAGCGACGCAACGGTGGAGAAAGATGAGGTAAAGGGAAGATGGCCAGGAGGAGGACTCAGACAGAGACTCTGGGCTCTGCAAGCCTCTCTTCTGAAAGCAGCCCCCCCTCTGACCTGTAAAGGAGCCTTTCCCCCAGAACTTGGTGAAGCTGCTTTTTGGGCCTACATCTCATGGAATCGCCCAGCCAGCCTGGCTGGTGGAAGATTTCTGGCGATGCAGACCAAAAAAGACCATTTTCCATATTCTGCTATTGTATCCAGGCAGCCAACTGTCTCCCCTCCCTCTTCTCCCAGTTAATCCTCCTCAATAGGAACAAATTTTGTTTTGAACAGTCTGGGGAGAGCCTCGAGTCTCCCCAGCCCCTCCTCTGGTGATAGCTGTCTTGTTCCTTCCCCCCCAGTCCCATGCCGGCAAAGTTGTGCTTCGCAGCTGGTACGAGAAGAACAAGCACATTTTCCCCGCCAGCCGATGGGAGCCCTACGACCCGGAGAAGAAATGGGACAAGTATACGGTAAAAGGAATGGAGGGTGATGGCCGGGCAGGTCTGGGGAAGGAGATGCCCGGGTGGCAGGGCTGCAATGGGGACCCCCGTCCTCTCCAAAACTTTAGGAAAATCCAAAGGTTCATCTTGAAAATTCAGATTCATGCTAATCCATTATTTATTCATGTAGCACTTTGTTTATTTCTGGCAAAGATGTCTCGGCAGCCTCTTAGGGCAGTAGTTGTCTGGGGCAGCTCCCAGATAAACCAAATTGCATGATACTTTTTTTCTCTCTCTTAAAGAAGAAACTCGTAAACTAAAATACAGGGTGTGGAGCTAAAACAAGGTCAAAGGCCCGATTCCGTAATTCAGCCAATATCAGCAGAGGAGGCTGCCTCCCTTAGGCGGGCCGTGGCTTTCTTTGCATGGGGAAAGGGGACAAGGGAGGGAAGCCGCCTCCATCAGGGCTGGCAGGAGCCCCTGGAGAGGATGGCCACAAGGAGGAAAGGAACACACACACATACACACACTGTTCTGATCAGAGCCCGTAGGAGGGGATCCCCTTTCCCTCTGGAAGATAATAGGGGAGTAGGCACCTGGATTCTCTGAAGGCCAGAGCATCCCAACCCCCTCCACTGTATCTGGAACCATTGAAACAACACCCCCCGTTCCCCCTGGGTGCTCAAAATGCTTCACATGCCATCCATGTTTATGTGTTACCTTGTAATCCTGCAAAGTCAGGGAGTTCAACATCCGGAGGGTTTTCACAGGCCGCCTTTCCTGTTCCAGGGGATTGTTCCCATTCTAAATTATGCAGTAATGCAATAACACTGAAGCCTAATTGTACAATATATATTTCTGGCAGAGGGCTACGTTGTGGATTTTTTTTTTAATTTATTGATTTAGAAATTAGACTTAATTTATGCAGCAGCCATTTGGTGACTACTTGGCCTGCTGCCATGCAGGAGAGGTTCAGATGTCTGGGTCAAAGGAAGAAAAGGGGCCTTCCCCCCCTCCACTTCAAGTGGAATAATATCAACAGTGTGTATATAGCCTCCTTATAGAAAATTATGCAGCACAAACAGGTGCTGCAGAGTGACATTGGTACATACAGCAGGCTCCAGCCCTCAAATACAGTAGCGTTGGTGGGTGCAGCCTCATGGGCATTGTTGTTATTCTTACCTGAGAAAGGAAGGAAGCAACACCAGCGCTTGCAGCTCTCTCAAATAAACGCCCTTCTGTTTTTGTTCAGTTAAAAGTATTACATATCCCACTTCCCCAAAAAGGGAGGTTGGTTGCAACCTTTTTTGGAGGGGGGGAATTATTTTTGAAAAATATACTGCCACTAACCAGCTCCAGCAGAACTCATAGCACTTCATAGCAGGAGGGTGATACCATAGCTGGAAGGGTTGGGGGTTAGGTTGGTTCTGACAATGCTTCCGGAAGAAATGAAAGCGAGCTCTCAGCCTTGACAAGAAGATTGTTCCACAGCCTCAGAAGCCAGCACCTCGTCACCGCTTTCCCTTGCCACCCGTGGCATCAGTACTCTGGAGCAAAGCCCAGCTGGCACATTATGGAAGGGATGGGTCTTCAGAGCGAGGGGGGGCAGAGGGAGGAAACAGGTTGGCAAACACAAGGGGGGGGACCTCTAAGGAAACAGGTACAGGAGACAGAGCAGGCTGACTGTTGCTTTCAGGTCTGGCTCTTGGTTTCCAGATGTTCTCCTGTCTGACAGACATTTAAAACAGGGGGAGTTTGTATTGTATGGTTGGAGCTTTTTGAGACAACGCTTGTGCGTTCCACTACCCCAATATTTCACAGTATTGGAGTGGGGGAGGAGAAACAACAGAAGGGCATTTTAATGCCAGACCAACCCACATAATTAGATATCATAGCTTGGGAGTATGGAATACAACGGTTGTAGGGGCACAGAGACTTGCCAGTTTGGATGGGAGGATTGTTGGGACCATCCAGGATGGGTATATGATGGTGCTTAAACAGTGTAATCAGTGAGTCGTTTCTCACTTTTTTTAAAGCTCAAAACAACCTAGAAAGAAGCCTTAGAGGCTGTGAGTTTCCATAGAGTGACATTGTTCATTATTGTTTTGTGTGCTGCCATAGAGGTTTCAACTGAAGGGCAGCAGCTTGGGGCTCTGTCAAATAAATAAGAAAGAGAGGGCTGCTCAATCCTTTCTCTCCTTGTTTGTTCGCTCAAGAGGATTTGCTTTTTAAATTCTTCCTCTGGTCTGTCAAGCAAAGTAGGGTAGGTAGGTGGATGGCTGAAGGAAAATGGGTTAAATCACTGCTGCTACCCTCCTGAAACTTAGTGGCAGCTTTATGTTAAAGCAAGCAGTATTGGCCAAGAAATCGGCTGAATGACGCTCGGTGTCTCTCTCAGTTCTGTGGTTCTAGTAATGTATGTAATATGTAGCTTGGCCCCAAAGCCTCCAGAGCCATTGCTCATGTCTTCTGTATGGCATCCTGTCCCCCCACCCCCCACCCCCAGTGCAGGAAATGGCACTCTGTGATCGCCCTGTTGAAAGATGGAAGTAACAGAGAAAATATTCAGATTCAGCCTCTCCCTTTCACAGCTTTATCCAGCGGATGACTTGGAATTCCTCTTTGATTACACCAGGCCCCATGATCTGTTTTTCTGCTGTTTCCCTCCCACCCAGTCTGCAACCAAAAATGATGATCCCCCAGCCCGCAAACCCCTAACTTGGTCCATCAGTGCATTTTCTTCCTTGTGTTTATAATTGTGGTTTGTGAGGTCATTTACATTATTTTTTTTAATGAACGAGTCAGCCTTTTGCTGCTCTTTAATCATCCTAAGCACACATTAAGTGACACTGGTTTGAACTGTATGAGGAGGGCCTAACCTAGATCCGGAGAGCATCATTCCCTGTTTATTCAGACTGGACAGGATATAATGTCAAGGAGGTCCAGTGGGGAATCGAATTCCCAGTCTCTGGCTCTGCAGCCTGATGTCTAAACAGGATGCTTGGTACTTTCTGATGGAACTATGACAACTTGGGGCAAGAAGGACTCACACTTTTTTTCCCCCTTCCCACAGATCCGCTGAACTATCTGTGACATATGTGGCTCCAGGATGCCTCCCTGTTTCTGCTGGTGATCTCCTTTTTAGCCAAGTCCAACATTCACCCCAGACTCTGCAGCTGTACTGTCTTCCTCATGGCATTGACATTTGGTGAAATAAATGTTGCATTTCCCAAACTTGATGGATCTTGTTTTGCTGTGTAGTCCACAGGCTGTCGTACCTCAGAATCCATTGAGTTGGAAGTTAGGTGGACATTTGGTGAAATAAATGTTCCAGTTTCCCAAACTTGATGGATCTTGTTTTGCTGTGTGGTCCACAGGCTGTCGTACCTCTTGCTCCAATACAGAATCCATTGAGTTGGAAGTTAAGTGGACGCATGCTGTACTGCTGGCATCTGCTTTTAGACTTTGACTTTAGTTTTACAGTGTAGATGAAAATAGCATATAGCTTGAGCATGTGCAGAGTGTCTAAGTTTAGTCGTTAAGTAACCGCAGCTTCCTGTCACACAAGTGGATTTCAGATAATGCCTTCTGGATTCATTTAAGTTCTCCTGTGTCTCTCATTTTAGAAACAGAACATTGTGTGCGGTTCAGTTCAAAATGTCACAGATGGCCAGGCAATCTATAAAAAGCCAAAAGGCCTGGTTTGATTTCTGGCACTTCTGAATAGCTCTGACATAGTCAGATCTGCTAATTTCCCATCTTCTAGCGAGCTCTCCTGACGCTTATGATAATCATGCAAATAAGTCAACAGTGGTGAAAACATTTATGCTAACCTTACTCCTGCTTGTAAAGATTAATTGTCCATTACGTAGTGATGGTGGAGGAGGAACCAAATATTTTCAAACTAGAGATGGGCAGAAACTGCTAGTTCAGCAGTTTCTGCTGATTCATTTATCAGCTTAACAGGTTGCGGCGTTTCCCAGCCCCGCCTCCTCTGGTGGATGCCCATTAAGAGGCAGGGCAGGGAAGCCTGGGCATGGCCTCCACGTGGGTGACCACTGGAGGAGGCAGGACCGGGAAGTGCTGAAACCTGTTCAGCCGATAAGAGAACTGGCACAAACTGCCGAAACAGCAGTTCGTGCCCATCTCTATTTCAAACATTTCCATCACTTGTTACCTGGAAATTATTCTTGCTTGTTGCGAGGAATCAGGCAAAGGCTGGTTTTCAGACCTGACTTGGAATAAGGGATGGGCAGCTCGTGGATCTCCCCAAATGTTTTTGGACTAAAACATTTGTCAGTCCTAGCCTAACCATGGCGAAGGATGATGGGAGTTGCCAGCAAGCAACATCTGGCAGTCCACAAGTTCCTTACCCCTGCCCTAAGTCATCTGTTCCAGCTTTCCTGCAAAGCATCAAATATTTATAATCTTCATTAGCAACACACCTTTGCTCTCCAAAGTGTCACCAGTTTGCTAACAAGAACACTTTTTTTAAAAAGTTACGAAAACTTCTAAGTACTAAGTCTATAACACTGTTCTGGTTTTTGTTTGTTTTTAAATAGTAGTATGGTCATGGGATGAAAATATTCCTGGTATGCCCCTTCTTTTTAAAGCAAGACTGGCTTTCTTAAAAATAATAGCAAAGTGTGATGTGGTCGAAATCATTTAAAACTCATCCTGACAATATCCCTGTGAAGGAAGCCATTGTCCCCACCTCACCACATAAGTTTACTTGGAAATACAGAAGATCCTAATTTGCTTAGTGGTCGTATTCCACCGAAGTACTTTGGCTTGCAGAGTAAACCAAGGTTAAAAAGCTACATCACAAAAGTCACAAAAAGTTGAAAGGGTACCTCTAACAAGTTTTATAGGTCAGAATTGCCATGTCTATAGAAATCTGGCATGTCTGAGAGAAAGATTATAGCTTGTTCATTTGCTTTGCGGAGTGTATTTTTTTAAGATGGAGGAGAAATGAGACCCATAATCCATGTGTAGATTTTCAAAGGTGCAGTTGCTTGCCCAGACATGATGTGACAAATCCAGCTGGACTCGGCTTTGACCCCAAATGTCTGAGGCCCATAAACTTAACTATTTGCTATCTAATTAGTATTATTTGATAGGATTGTTACACAAGGAGTAATTATGATAGTGATTGTATTAGGGTGCATCTTGACTCTTTCCTTTGATCAGGCACTTTGCCCTGGTTGCAGGCAATTAAGCATTACAATCCATTGTTCTTTTGCATTAATAAAACTGGGGAACAAGGAAGGGGCCTCCCCAAAGTACATGAGAATTGTGAATACGTGTGAGTGTTCCCTGAAGCGGATCCTTCCATTCCATTGGAATGCTTCCAATACAAAGGAAGAAGACCTAAAACAAGAAAACAAGGGAATAGGTAGTGATTGTGCTGATGGCTCTTAACCGTTTGGCTAAGCTGCAGTGATGTCACAGACAGGTGGAGCAGGCAGGATGGTCTCTTTATCATGAGCCAAACTCCGGGAGGCAGTGGAGGATATAAGGGCCTGGCATGCTCTGGTCCATGGGGTCACGAAGAGTCGGACACGACTAAACAACAACAACAACCTCCTTTGATCATAGAGATAAGCTGCACAGGAAAGAGAGATTATCAATAAAGGGAAAGTACCAGGGATTTAGGAAGGGAAGAGGTAAGGACCTGAGAAAACAATAGACTCAGGGACCACGCAGGTTGGGGATGATGAGATGTAGCTCAGCATATTTAGATACACCAGGTTGAGTCAGGCTGGGGAAAGCCTGAAAGAACAGGAAATGGGGGACCCTGTGGAAGAGAAGGGGGCAGAAGGGAGAATGGATGAATATTGTCCTGCAGAGGCAAGAAACCAGCTTATTTGGAATAATGCCTGACCACAAACCTCTGGCGATCTTTTATGGGATCTGTGCAGTCACAGATGTTAATCCATTAAGGATAGGTATTCCAGATGGACATCAAGAGGATGTTTCTGTTCCTGACCCTACTTGCCACTTGAATTCAAAAGCCAGAGAAGCCAAAACACAGAAGTCTCCTTGTGCCTCTTAATTTCCACAATACCACTGAGTGGGAGTCTGCCTTGAAGTGAAAGCGGATGATGTGCTTTGCAGAAGCCGTTTTAAGTCAAATCATGGTGCTGGCTGGAGAGCTGGAAGGATGATTTGTTGCCACTGTCTTCAAATAGGTCCAGAAGTAGGATTTCAGGGCCTGCTGTCAGATCTTGTTCCCTGCACTTGTGGTCAGATGGAACAAATACTT